GGGCTTTGGGATGTGTTGATTGTTAATGTTTTCTTCTTTTTTCCACTGACGCTGGTAGGGAAGAAATATATGCTGAACTTGTAATTGGACGTGTAGGGTCGTCCAGGGTTGCCGGAAGCCTTTTCTTTGCGATGTTGTCGGGTGTTGACTATCGCGTGGCTGGGCCTTGGGTGTATGGGCAGGTCCTTGGAGGCCTTACATTACACTTGACATTCTGCGCATTCTCTACCTTTCATACGGGAACCCAAGTGCATATTTTTCTTGCCAATGACTTGCTTGTGTTGTGTGCTCATATTTGATTCGGAGGATCTATATCATATTTTCACAGCATGGAAAAGAGCCTCACATATACTTGCCTAGGCGGGGGTGCCCTTTATATGACCTGTTTCTCTTTCTCTTTTGTAACAAATCTTACCCACCCCCCTCCCTCCCTTAGCGTCAATCCTTACGTCGAAGCCAGGATGACTCAGCAACATTACCTAACAGCGGTATTCAATTTTCAGGTGGTTTTAAGGAATAAAGCAATCAAAGTTGTGCTGATTTTAGCGGGTTTAAAAATTGGATTCTAAATGCCATTCTAGTTGAGGCGGGCAGCTTCAATGGCTGCAAATTGATCCATTATAGGGACTCCTTTTTAGATCAAACATTTTCAGGAGCCTTAGGAACATGTCACGGGTCCTTTGCCACTTATCAATGGCGCTTTGGACCACGTTCTTCCTTCTGTCGATTTTGTGGCAATTACATAATCTCCGACGGTCACAGGTCGCCCCCCTCTTGGCGCGCCAGTTTGACGCTAAGCGTACCAAAACCGACATAGTGGCTTTCCTTACTTAGCAAGAAGGCAATCCAGTGACTGAACTTCACATGTTCCCAATTACTTCGGAAATACAACAAATCTCAATCCATCGTTGTGTCCAGGTTGGCGATGCACTGATAAAAACTGGCACCATAGCACACAATATAATAATACAATTCAACGCAATTCAAATACTGTTACAAGATGTGAGAAATGAGCGATATTTTGTGAATAGTGACATCCTTCGTGAGGTTGAGTCCCACACAGCCCTGTTAGCAGCAGAATCGCCGGTAACAGCGCCTGTATTCTTGTAGAACTCAGTTGACAATACGTCAAGGCTTTGGGTCATCAATACAGAATTCATTGACGCCAGTTTTCCGGGGCAAACTTAGCTGCAAGCTACAGCGCCGGGCATGTGGTAATTCCTTGTTGATTTGTTGACATTTTGGAAATGCATGTACGACAAAGAAACACAACACATTTGTGTATCTGCACAACTGTGCTTTAATCTTGCAATTGTGTCCACGGCACTGAGTGGTTGACGGAGAGTGCATCGTGTAAGCCAGCTTTGCCAATGTGCCTCCTGCGGCGCTGATGCGTCCATGGACGAGAGGGCGCCAAGTGCTGACAAGCACTGCCCGCTGTAATAAATGCGATCAGAGCCTCATCAGCCCCGTCCGAGTCGTTACGAGCCATACACTTCAGGTTGCTCAGGCCATTCGGAGGACAGGGTTCACGACCGGAGACGATTCTTGTGTCTTCGATGTTGGCATCCTTCTAGCCGTTGCAATGTTCACGCCCCCTGACCGTTGGTGTGGCGTTTTGCGAAGTACCCCTGTGGAGGTTGGTACCTTTTTCATTAATACTTCAGCATGGTCTAATTGTAGTCTTTGAGTCTTTATCAGTACGGTAGCTGTATGTATAATAGATGAACGTTGGCGTGGGAAGACGTGTGATGGTCAGGCGTGATTGTCACTGATGTGGCGATTCCATGAGAGACGTGCCGGATGACTTATGACGATGAACTGCCACTTGTGAAGACGTGCCTTAGCCTTGAAGATGACCAGATGATGTGCCGTACCCTTGAGGGTAGACAGGCGATGTACCGTGGCCCTGAAATTACGCAGTGAGGATTGTTCCTGGCAATGAAGTGTGATGAGCGGCCGTACCCCTTTTTGATGACCAGTTGTGCCCCTTTTGGATGGTCTACATGAGGAGAGTGGTGCCGTGACGCCTGGAACCTGGCCGTTACCACGAGGTGACGACGTTTACCCTGACGACCTGGTGATCACCTAGGGGCAACGACTACCCCAATGGCGGCGGCGGTCACCATGGTGGGGAGAGCCGTCACCACGGGGCAGTCACAGTTACGTAGGGCGGCGCCGGCGGTTATCCTGACGTGGCACGGCAGCCCAGGACTTCAGCATGTAGGGTGATGGGTACGGTGGCGACGGGTAACTAGGTGGGAAACCGCAGGGCCCTTTGTTGTAGGGGCTGAATAGCTTAAGTACTAGGATACTGGAGCCCGAGTGGCACGGGAAACCGTCTTGGTATGAGGACATACCTGTTTGGTACTGTGTTTGGCGGGTAACGATGCTAGGGTAACGGATTATGGTATGTTTGGACCTGCCAAGTACGGGACGCGGTCACCCGGGCATATAGTACTAAGGGAAATGGCGGTAGTCGAAGTGACGGAAGGGAGTGTATACTTTGGTGGGTGGAGACGTTACCACAGGCGCTGCGGTACCACGGCACTCGACGGGAACGTGTGTGTGAGATGTGCAAGGTACCGCCTATTGGAGTTTTCTTGGCAACGGTACCCTGTTGGGAAACGGAACCCGCGCTTGGACTATAAGTGTACGCACGACTTTACTTGTAATGAACACGAACCTTGGGTCCACTCCGTTGTTTCTCTGCGTGTCTTTCGGGGATTGTGCCCAGCTGGATGGTTAGCATGCCGCGCTGAAGTCGCCTATTGAAGGCGCACCCTCGCCATCGAGTCCAGCTCGATGGGGCGATCGTTTGGATTCGTGCGTGATCGGTCCCAGACTACTGGAAGATTCGTCATCCGAACGCCTTTTACACGGTGGTACAAGGCTCGGAGCCGCATTGGCCTTTGAACAGGACATCAGGGGTGCGCAGGCCTGCCAAGTCGCTGAGTTGGAGCCCGCTGTCTACAGAGTTTGTATGCTGCAGTGCTGGAGGACTCTTACAATAGCGTGTCGCACAAAGAGGCGCCCTCGAAGGGCCGCGAAGGATAGCGAAACGGTGGCCGAAAGCTGGCACGGGAGGCGCGCCTTTGATGACCACTTGGGGGTCCTTCCGCCTCTTGTACGGCGTGAGTTTGACGAACGGCTTGTCGAGGTGAGGAGGGCGGATTTTGGCAGCTTCCAGGCCATCAGCGAAATGTTCTTGGCCACAGTGAACGCGCTCCTCGTGAAGTCCTCTGCTCTCAACGTTCCGGGAATTAACTCTGGAACTTTGCGACTGCTGTGCGGCGCAGGATTTGCCCTGCGGCCATGGGTGGAGCCAAGTGGTACGCCGTCCGCATTGGCCGTCACCCGGGCATTTACAGGTGAGCGGGCCAACCCAGCACGGGTTGCGGGCCGTTTTTGGTGGTTGCTGCCCTGCAGGTAGCGGATGCGACATATTGGCGCCAACCGCCACTGTGTTCCTGGCTTGGCGGCGCGTAGGACAAGCATTGACGTGACATTCTTTTGGCTGGGCAGAGGGAGTGGATTGTGGGAGTGGATTGCGGTTGTTGAGGGAGAGGAGGTTGCAAGCCTGAAGCGGATCATAGTTGCCGGTACTTGTTAGCTTCAAAGCTGGCAGTGATCGGACGGTACCCTGAATCGACGAAGCGACATGTAACATCCCTAACAAGTCTTATTTGCTGCGCCCACAACACAAAGCAACAGCCACGTACATGAACGTAGCTCCTTGCGAGTACTTCTTTTGGTTTGGAGATGCAAGAGTACTGTGTGCAAGCTACATTCTTCCATGATTATTCTCCACTGTGTTTGGGACTGCAGCTGCTGCTGTGACGTGGGTTCATGAACCCAAGTTGATGCAATTCACTAACACAAGAAAATTCAACAGGCAAGCAGGTTCGCAAGCGAGTTCTTTGAGCACAGTGGCCCCTGGAACACATTGACCCTGATAGCCAGCTCCGACTTTGCAGCTGCTGTACCTGCGCCAAAAAGCTAGCACAACATAAAGTACATGCGTGTGACGGTAACTGACCCGTTGACTTGAAACTGAACGATACATGCGACTGCCAGGCTCGTTCGTACAGAGCCATGCAGAGATGTACCGCTTCTCATGTCATTACTAGCCTTCAGGCAGTGGAGGCAGCAATGCAGGAAGCACCTGTTGCAGACAGATCTCGGAACACAATTTGATGCAAGAGCTGAGTTCCTTTTTGTTCTCGAAACGGAGTCATCCCAGTTGCAAATCCATCAAAGCTGGGTCTTCAACTAACAGCACGTTGTTTGGGGACTGTGGCAGCTCTTGGCAAAAGTGCCAGGCTGAGGTGCATGGGTTTCCGAAGGCAGTCTTCAAATCTTTCCTCAACAGGGAAGATGCAGAATCATGGCTGACTGGCGATCTGACAAACATTGGGTGCGACACAGAAGAATGAACTGTAACGGTGCAGTCTGCCATTTGACTTTGTTAATCTGTGCGACACACTTGAGAATGTACGTTGAGTTCACATCTTTTAGATCGCCATGGTCAGTTGGTGTTTGGCCATTGTGCAGGTCCAGATCACAGATGGCATTTTGTTCAAGCACAGAATCGCTACAAAAAAGGTATTGTCACTGTTGGACACAGGTGCCTGTTGCGCGCTTCCACACACCCCACCCCAAACCCCCAACCCCCAATACCCCACCCACCCCACCCCACACCCAAAGTGTTGAGCTTCTCAACGAAGAGGCTATACATTCACTTACAGGTTGTCTGGCTTTTGGACCCTGTGTACCCTTGTAATTCCTTGTAAGGTGCCACAAGGGTTGCAGCTCGTGCTTGGATGGGGGATGCATGGAGACTACTAAATGTTATGTAGCACTTTGGAATAGGAGAAGAAGAGGCTTGCTTCATATTATGTATGATGGTTGTGGACATCCCCAAATGGTGTGTGCACACTTGTCTGAAGAAAAAGCGTTTGGTTAGTGCCCTGGAGGAAACAAGGAAAGTCTGTAAAGCAACAAATGCCACAAGATGCAACAGTTGATTTTTGCATATGGACTCATAAGCTTGCTGCCATGTGTCTGTGTCGCAGTGGAAACGGAGTAGATGTGGCACACAAAGAGACTGATATCCTCCATGTGCTTCAATTTGATGGTGGAGCCAGGTAGCCTTGACTTTTGAACTTATTCTGCTTGCTACACATGTGTCTCATTTTACCATTCCATCTCCTGCTGGAGCAAATTTTGTTCTTGGATGATCCAATGCTGGCCCCATTGTTCATCTGCAGTTAATTCCATCACAACAAATGAATCGATGTATCTGGGGTTGATTCGAGCGGTTTCTGGTTTTCACCAGGGGGAATCCTGGCCCTGGGGGCTGTGGTGCTTGTATTTTTGCTCCAGGTGGAGAACCGATGTGGTAAGGAAGATTTTGGTTAGAATATTCTAGGTCAAAAGGCTGAACTATCCAGTTGCCATCTGTCCTCAATGTTTTGCTTGACGTATTCTTGGCAGTGCAACATTTCAAGATAAATGCTTTGACATTGTTGGTAGTTGGCAGGATATTCTCTTCTGTCCCAGCAGCAAGAAGTGAGCATTGCAATGCTGGCTCTGTGATTGTCAGGCAGCATCGCTTGTGTGCAAATCCATGGTGGTGCTGTTGATTCAGATTGCCAATATGTGTTCTCCCTGATCAGGGATGCGCTGCCCTTCTAGTGCGATTTCTATCATCAGATAGTTGCAAATTGTATATCAAGCATCCAGACACTGTAGAGTATTTGCTCATTTACTCTTGCAAATGGTGGTTGGCATTGTTCCCAACCAGGGACCAGTCCCCTCTTGGATGTCTCTTAGTGCTGTCAAGACATGTGGCTTGCAACACTTGTGCCCCTTTTTGCAGGGAAGGATACTTTTTCCTTGGCATATGCACAAACAACCAAGCAGAGTACCAGGGGCTGGTGGAGGGCCTTAAAGCTGCAGCAGAAAAGGGAATAAACAAACTGAGAGTGCAGGGGGATTCCCAGTTGGTGATAAGGCAAATGAAGGTGTGTTGTGTGCTCTCTATATAGGCTGTTGGGGCATATGCAGCGGCTCTCATGTCTTTGTTCGATTTCTTTCTTTTCGACATTTTGTGTTTTGCCAGGGCGAGTATGCAGTGAAGAGCGAAGCATTGCGAGCTCCATACAAAGAGGTGATGTCATTTGGCCACTAGGATGCGGGGCATGTCTCATAGATGCAGCATTCGTGCCATGCTGTCTTACCTGAGAGAGCTTACCTGTACTGGCAATGAGTTGTGGTTTACTACTGACATTTTTGAGCTGATCTGTGCTGATACAGGCTAAAAAATTAGCATCGAGGTGTGTTGAGTGCCACTTTGAACACGTGGAGAGGAACTTGAACAGTGAGTCTTGCACTGTTGCCTTTGTTGGAATTGAATTCCTGGTTGATCCCATGTGCTGAGGCCGGGTAGGGTTGCTGAACTAACTGTTGAGGTGTGGTGACCAGACCTGTTACCACATGCAGTAGCCATTCAGTACATACCCGTCCTGCTTCTTGTGGAACTGTGCTGTGCCTTTGTTTGCCATATCACAGGCACTAGCATCCATCCGCTGTGCATCCACATGGAACCCGGCTGGAAATATGAATTTGTTCTCGATACTGTGAGCAAACTTGTCTAGCTCATTCCTAAGTGCATGCAAATGGATGTGACACATTCTGTGCCATATCACAGACACAAGCATCCATCCGCTGTGCATCCACACGGGACCTGGCTGGAAATATGAATTTGCTCTCAATATTGTGAACAAACTTGTCTAGCTCATGCCTAAGTGCATGCAAATGGACGTGACACAATCTGATGTCTGTTTCAAGTTGAAAACAAGAAGCAGCCCTGGCCTCTGATGTTCTCTTGTGCCTTGTGTCAAACCTGCTGTGGCTTCAGATGCTGTCACCGTTTCGAGTCAGGGATTGTGATAGTCGCAGTCGAAATTTCTATCCAGGTCTGCAGTGAGATTTCTTTGTGATATTTGTTTCGTTTCTTTCTGTTTGCAATTCCTACCCAATCTAGGTGAATGGAATCTCTGGACCCCAAAAGCCACAACTGTTTGCCCTTATGACCAATTCCGACTTCTGCGGAAGCCGTTATCATCACTGGATGGAGGATTTCGTTGTCTCTATTTTGATGTCTCTTCCCCTAAAAAGCTGCTAAAGCTGGGCTTCCTGCTTGTGCTGCAGGCATTGCTGATAGGCTAGCAAACGTAGCTATGGATGAGAGGCGTAGCCACCAAGAATGGCTGCTGGTGGCTGGAGCATCTGGCCAAGCCAGTTCTGGCTGACATTATTGTAATTTGCACCCCTGGACTGGTGCTTGGGGTTGTTGATTCGCATGCTTCTGCAGGCATCGGTGTGGAATTGATAGCATGAACTGTGTTCCAGGAAGCCACAGTCTCTGTGCAACAGGGGCCACTGAAAACAGAGTGGCACACATTTGTCAGCTGCTGTCTGCACGTTTTCTTGGCATGGTGCACAGCTGCATGTCTGTAACACGGGAGTCGATTTACAGGCTACAATGTTGGCTTGTCATGAATTTGCTGATTGTCATCCGGGAAAAGTATGTCTGCGTGCTGTGACGGGGAAGGGAGACTCGCATTCACATGGCTTATGTATGGCCCAGCTTTCCGACCATGGCATGTCCACTTTGCAACCTGCATTTGTCTGGAAGGCCGTAGGCTGGATCAAGCAGAGGATCGAATGGAGAGCAATTCTACCCTATGGAGAACACATTCAGGCTCAATTTAGTGGATGAAAAAGGCCACAGTTGGCTGGAAACAGCTATTTGTCTTGCCAATTTGTGTAGTTCAGCTGTATACTGAGTGGTTGCGAGCATTCATCTGTCATATTCTGTGCCAAGGAGAATCTGTGATCTGCACTGCATTGAGTGCAGTGCTACCTAGTTGATGGACATCCACAGGTCTGTGGACTGCGTGAAAGGGCACATGCGGTAGCTGGACAACCGCTCGATTGTGTCTGAAGTGTGCGGAATGTTGGCCTTTCCTGGGATTCAGCCTCATGGGCTGGTGGATCAAAGCGCTTCTGCAGCCCTATTTGAGACCCGAAGGTGAGGAAACAGCATATGTTGGAACTGTGAGTGAATTCTACTTCATTTTATCTGGACAGCCAGACTTACTCCATGGTAGACCGCAATGCCAATCTCAGTATTATGCCTGTGTGGACAGTGGCTGCAAGCAGCGAGGTCAGGAGTTGTTCCCACGGAAGGAGAATGGATCGCGACAGGAACTGTTGTGACCAACGAGAATTTCGGTTCAACGAGCAGTTGTGCGGTGCAAGGTGTGTGCGCGTGTCACATGTGCCGCTTGAGTACGCTGGCGGTCCGGACCAGCGGCGGGGCCAACCCTTACTTGAGTTGTCCTCTGCGATCAATCACAAAGTTTTGTGCGTGCATGGTGCGCGGGATTGCTCAAACGCACCAAATTGGCGCAATGATGACGACCAATGAAGGAGGAAATCGTGACTCATGGGTTCACGACAAGGACCCCCGACCTGCAGTGCAGTGCTCGGGCGCCCTCTCGCCCGCGGGAAAGCTAAGCACCGTCCGTGGGTCGCGCCCCGCTTGTCGCTGTACATTGGCAGGGGATCTACCTGTCGGCGGCTCCCGCCAGCAGAAACCGGAATTTCAAATCGCACGCTAACCGCGGAGCCCTGGCGCCTGGCGCGGCGGGCAGTCCCCTTTGTCACACCGTCCTTTCCGTGGTAGGCCCGTCCGAGGGTGGCCTCTCAGAATATTCGCGCAGTCCCACGTGCGGCGCCCAGCGCCCAGCGCCCCTTGCGCCACTTGGGCCCTAGGTGACCGGCGCGGAGTATGTTTGGGCCCGCTGCCACCCGCTGGGCTCTCTCGGCCACCATGAAGCCGGCCAGGCGCGGCAAGCAGCCGCCCCGCGACAGGCTGCTGGCCCTGGTAGCCGCCACCTGCCTGCTGGCGTGCTTCCTGTGGGTGCGCAGCCTGACGGCGCCGCGCCCTGCCCCCCGCACCTGCCGCGTGTCGTGGCCCACGCTGGCGGAGAGGAGCGGCCGGCCGGCGGTCGCGATCGTGGCGCTGTCGGACGTGGGCAAGAACGTGAGCAAGGATCTGTGGGATCCCAAGGGCCGGTCGTTCGAGGGTGTGCTGGAGGCCACGAGGGCGAACAAGGAGGACTACGCCAAGCGCCACGGATACCGGTGGGGGGAGGGATTGGGGATGGGGCGGGATGGCGGCGGGCGCGGCGCGTGCGGAGTGACGGCAGCGTTTGCATGAGAGCATGGGAGCGGTGGCAGTTCAATCGACGGGCGCCGTCGACGGCGCGGGCGCTGCCGTGCGAGAGTTCGTGTGCGCCGCAGGGCGCCAATCAGTGAATGGGCTGTCCGCGCTGATTGCGGTTCTGGGTTCTATTGCCGGAATTGGAGCGTCAGATCCGTTTGTGCGGTGCTGGTTTCCCTGGCCGCGGATCGTGTTGATGTCAACCTGGTCGCGGAAGAAACCTGAGAGGCTGTCGCTGTGGCTGGCCATTGCGGTGTGTCGCGGACGCCCAGCGATTCGTGGCTGGGTGCTGCTCCCTGGTGTCCGAGAATCACTGTGGAAACCACGCGCGTGGAAAATGTCCCCCTTTTCCGCGGGCGCACGGCTTCAAGCTGTCGTCTTGTCCCCTTCCCCTTTGACTAAGCCTGACTGCCCCTGACTGCGATCTGTGTTCGTCTGCAGGTATTTTGACGCCAGTTTTCTTCTCGACACCAGCCGTCCGCCGGCGTGGAGCAAGATTCTGGCTGTTCAGAATTATCTGGACCAATTCGACTGGGTGATGTGGATGGACTCGGACTCTGTGGTCACCAACCCAAACATCAGGCTGGAGAGCATTCTGCCTGCTGGGGACAAACTGGACCTGATTGTCACCAAGGACTTGGGGGGCTACAATGCTGGGATGTGGTTCGTCAGAAATTCTGCCTGGTCACGAAAATTCTTGACAACCTGGTGGTCGATGAGCAATTTCATCAGGAAGGCCGGGGACACCAAGAGTGGCGACAATGATGCAATGAAGCACCTCCTTGGGCACATGAGCGCAGCGGAGCATGAGGAGCACGTCGGGGTGGCACCCCAGTGCACGTTCAACTCGTACCTCTTCAAGACATCCTTTAGGAACTGGATCCGCCATGCAATGGACCCAGATGAATTTGATCGTGGCTTGCACCGCAAGGGAGACTTCCTCTTGCATTTGGCGGGCATGGAGAACAAGATGGCACACATCCGTAAATTCCTTTTTGAACAGCCCGTCGGCTCACAATGAGGAGGGGTGCTGCCCTGTGGATGGGCAGCTTAGAACTTCATAGGCTGCATTGCTGCTCAGAGCCTTGAGTGCACAGCAGGGCACGATGC